GCACAAACAGGGTTATTTTCAATTAGACAACTGAGTGAGTAGATAGCCTCAGTATGTATCAAGCTACATATCTGTGGCACTTCTACCCTTCAAAATAAAATAATAGTTAAAAAGAATAATAGTTAAGACATATCCATGGACAAGTTATTGCATCATAACTTATAGAAAAATGTTTATTAAGTATTCTATTCCAGTGTTAAGAAGGAAAACAATATATCTCCAATCTTTCTTCTGTAGGTGCCTGTGTCAGTGGCCATGATGACTCCCCAAGTGATCACCCCTCAGCAAATGCAACAGATTCTTCAACAACAAGTTTTGTCTCCTCAGCAGCTTCAAGCACTTCTTCAACAACAGCAAGCAGTTATGTTACAGCAGGTAATGTTGGATACTTCTTTGGATAATTATCAGAGTTTCGGCTTATTATATAGTCAGCCCTACTTGCTAGTGAGAGGTCATGTGTTTGCTTTCGTAAGAAGGAATAATATAAGTCTGTGACAAATTCTCTTAGCCTAAAACTTTTTCAAGGGCCTAGAGAATCCATTTTTCAACTTTGAATACAACTTTAACATCTCGTTCAGGAACAATAATGGCAGGTGGAGTGTGAAGAAAGGAATTTTAATTTTTTAATCCCTCCTTTATTATTATTTATAAATATCTCAAGGTGACAAATGTACCATCTTCCTCCTCCTATTTTCTCCACAACAACCCTGAAATAAACCAATGTTTAAATGTTCAAGAACTTAGGTACTTTTTGAGTGATCAATTGAACAAATAATGTAAATAGACTTTAAGATCACAGTTGCTTTAAAATTATATGATGTTAGTGATTACTTTTAGATAACTGGAGGGGGGCTGGGAAATTTGAATTTAACTTTTTTTTAATCAAATGAAAACAGAAGTTGGAATGAGAAGAGTAAATCTGGAATGAAAGTCAAGAAACCCTGACATTTCTGATTGAAAACCAAATAACAATATTGTCATATAACATTACGTCTATTACCCTTTTCAACTGAACTTAGGAGGAATAGAATTAATTATCACGATGAAAATAATGTTTATTTTCGGAATGTTTAAACAAGATATGTGATTTCATAGAAATTACAGTGAAATAACATTTTGCTATACATCTGGCATGCTGCTAATCCTGCACAGGCAGGTTATTGAACTCTCCACCCTTATTATATGTGAGGAAATTGATATTGTTTAGAGAGGACAGGCAGTCAAGGAAGAAAAGGAAGGCATGAAGGTAGGAAGGCATTAGTTTGCCTTTGCTGCCCGTGATCTAGAATACAGATTTTTTTTTTTAAAGGATACTTTGAAATATGCACTGGGATATTTCAGACTTGACTTTGAGGGGAGAGAAGTCTATATAGATTTGCAGCTTCGTGTTCTATTTTTGTTTTACGGTATAGCTTAGCGACCACTTTGCCACGTGCCAATCTAGAAGAGTTTAGGAGATGCATAATATGTGAAACTTTACCTTTATTTATTAAAGTCAAAATGATTTATTCAGCAACAACTTCAAGAGTTTTACAAGAAACAGCAAGAGCAGTTACATCTTCAGCTTTTGCAGCAGCAGCAGCAGCAACAACAACAACAACAACAACAACAACAACAGCAGCAGCAGCAACAGCAGCAGCAGCAGCAGCAGCAGCAGCAGCACCACCCAGGAAAGCAAGCAAAAGAGGTAGAGCCTAAATAACTATTATTTCTGCAAGTAGAGCAGCTGGGGAGGAGAAAAATAAGTTATTATCAACATAATACGTTGATTTTTGTTTGGTGTTTGTTTTTTTGCAAAGACCGTCTTTATAAGAAGCTTTTTGAAATTATTGAAATAATTCTAAGATAGCTCATTCAGACAATGTTATGTATAAATAATGCCCCCTTAAGATATATTCATATAGAGAATATCTTGGGTGAACTAAGATGTCTGTAGATACAGATTTTGCTTCTTAAGGATGATTCCATAATTGAAGAGGTTGGGAAAAAATGCTCTGTGCTGTGATTGCAGAAATCACCACCAGGAAGTGACAGCTGTATCCATGGAGATTCTGGTTCATACAAGGCATTCTCTGTGCAAAAATGTCCTTGGGGAACATTGCAAGAAGACAAAACTGACTTCGTGAAATGGCCCATAGAATTGGTAAGATGATCAGACAGATTGCTAGATAGATAGATAGAATAAACATGATCCAATAAATAGTTGGGTTACACAGACTGGAGGTTATTCAGAATGATTTTTATGTTGGGCATAATATTCACATTGAGTACTCCAAATATTCATTTAATTAAAATGATGACTTCTATATAATTTTATATTTCAACATTTTAAACTTTAAAGAACTAACTTATATAATCAAGGATATTATTTTAATAGTTCATTTGAAATCTTTCTATGAGAATGCTATTGTTCTTAGCCCTTTCATCCTGAAGATCAGTGCTTAAATACATTCAGTGAAACCAATGACAAAATAGGATGCTACAGCTTATTTTGTTTGCAGTTGTGAAGCCTGAGTTTGCCATCCAGTTCTATTGTCTTTCAGTGCTCATACAGTGGTGAACAAAGTACTGATTGACTGATATATATATAAGGAAGCTTGAACCGATAAAGGACTTATCTTCTCTTTGTGATATCCCTAGTTCAGAAATGGATTGGATAATAATGGCTAGTAGAAAGTTATAAAAAAAATTGGGCATAGATTTTGAAGTCACAGACCCTGATTAATGAACTCTTACTGTACAGTTTGGAATGGTGAGTAGAAAGTTGCAGTTTGATGTGCTCATAAATCAACATGACAAGCCAGTATCTCAGGCCTGGACTTGTCAGCAGACTGCATCAGCTATAAACATAATATAAACAAACATGTTTCAAGTAGTTAAATTGAGCAGCAAGTATATCCTAGACATTGTCTTGTAGCTTCCCATTATGCAAACATACACGATCCAATTCTGACCTCCCAAGGCATTGTTTCTGTTTGGAGTTGTAAATAGAATTTCAGACAGCTATCAAATACAGAATAGAAATTACTCCCTTATTTCTCCCGAGGCTCTGAGAAATCCACACGACTTACTCCATTATGCAGTCTGTTTTCCAGTGAGTGGATCAGAAGTTTCTCTTGTCATCCAAACTTAAAAAAAAAAGGAAAGGTCTTTCTCTGAAGTGTGACTACATCCTTATATCCTCCTGAGCTTAAAGACTCTAGCTTATCTTGTAACACCTCACAAAATTGGAAGTTAGCACTTTCCTTTATAATAAGATGCTTCTTTACCATGAATATAATGCTAGGGACCTAATGTATTCCAACAAGCACAGCAAAGGAGGTAACAGGCTAGTAAAATGAAGGCTACACCTCAGTTTACTAATAGATCACTGGAGATTTCCTTTATGGGCCACTGCAGTTCATAGTTACTCAGCTGGAAAAATAAGGCTGCTTTTGAATTAAATTTTGAGGTAAAGAATTACGCCTTCATGAATTTTACCTATTTGTTCTTTAAGTTGAAAAAGTGGTTTGTCTTCTTTCTTCTGATTCTTTGCTAAAAAGAATCCTAAAGCAGATCATCTTTCCCACTGATTATTTGTAAAGCAAGTTTTCTTTTTTAAGAAACTAGCCCTATTTCTACAACACAATAGCTATTGCTAATTCATCACGGAAATAAGCCAGAGCCGTTGGCTGAATCTTGCCTTTTTCACTCCTCCGTTACATTTGTCCTTCTGTTTTGAAGCAGCAACAGCAGCAGCAGCAACAACAACAACAGCAGTTGGCAGCCCAGCAGCTTGTCTTCCAGCAGCAACTCCTCCAAATGCAACAACTTCAACAGCAGCAACATCTGCTGAATCTTCAGCGTCAGGGACTCATTTCCATTCCTCCTGGCCAGCCCACTCTTCCTGTCCAGTCATTGCCACAAGGTATGATATGACTGATTTCTAGATCCCCACCTTCTTCCGGTTGTAGTTCATCGTGATTTCCAACTTGGTATTTCTGCCTTTACTTTAGTTTGATTGTTCAAATATTTCAAATAAATTTATTTTATACAAGAGGCTGTGCATATGAGCAGTGTTTTGTATTTTCAAATGTGTAGCTTTGATAGAAGAAACTTTCATCTTTGCGAGCTGAAAACTATTGCAATTTGTGTTCCATTTTTAGTATTTTTTAGTATTTATTTGATTTGTCAATCGCTTACAAGATTACAAGTATAAGAATAAATATAGTTTTGATACTTATAAGAAAAATAAAAAAAACAATAGGACAGGGACGTAGGCACGATTGGTGCGCTTATGCACGCCCCCTATTTAATTAAAAACAAAGGGGGTGGGAGAGAATACCCGAAATTAAGGTTACATTGCCAAAACAGTTTGATATATTAATGTTGACAGTGCCGTAGCTTAGATATTTTAGGACAAAGTTGTGTGAATCTATCCAAACATAGCACGTTAATATCATAGAGTTATAAGTATTACTCAGTTCAATCAATATCATTGATACTGTAAAAGAAGGATATCAAAACAAACTGTAAAAGAAGGATTTTTACCATTTTTTTTAGCATGTTTTCTGTTATTTTCATGATTGAAAATAATTTAATTAATTATTTTCCATAATTTCAGGTTTTTTTAGTAGATGTCACAGCTCAGGGATATAGGTTGGAAACTGATGGGAATAAGCAGGTTCTCTGAGAGCCTTTTTCACTCCTATATATATATAGTATAGTATATATATAGTATATTCCGTTTTTTTAACTGAATACAGATTCCTTTTGCATTCCCACTTTTGACATATTTTTTTTTTACCATAAACAAGTTACATATATGAAAGGAGAGTGCTACATCTTTGGGTAGTAAAATACTTTTGTTCTTTACCATGGAGTAATGGCTAATATAGTATTTCTCCTTCACAACTGCACTTTTTTTGTATGGAGGTGATATGGTTGCAGTCTTTCCAATAGCAAGTACATTCTACTTTTGTTATAATTTTCATCTCAGAATGTTTGACAGATTAGATTGGAATCTGGATTCAACTACAGAATGGATTAACAAATCATTCCTGTTTTTTGACAATGTAAGAATTGAAAATGACTATAGCTCAGCAGACATGCATATTCTTGGAGAAGCAACACAACTTATTACACTCCACAAATTTCATAATTCTCCCATGAAAAATTACAATTCAATAGAGAGGACTGTTTTTGAGAAGTATGTACACATCGTACATCTTTGTCCTAAAAGGCACATTAATGTAATGCACATTAATACTTAGCTTAAGATGAAGTTTCCTGTCACACATTGTTCAGAACTTTAGTGTTTTAAATGAGATGTCTGCAAATGTTTAAAATTCTGATAATATTCTTGACTAGTTGGATACCCGTGTTTTGCTACAAAACTATGTGATCGGGCTTAGTTTTGGGGGAGGAAAATAAGCAAAAAAATAAATAAATCTGCTTCTGCCTACCAGCATCCATCAGTATTCACCCGGCTAGCATCCTGTCACTGTGAGTTGAGGGCTGTTTGGAAACTGAAACAGTATTTGCTGTGTGGGCAAGAAGGTGACAGCAGGGAGCCTGGGTGTGGCTTAGCTCAACTGTTCTGTACTAAATCTGCTTGTTGTTGTGAAACTAAAAATGAAACTGAAACTCCTCTGCTTGTGTTTTGCAATTGGAACAGATTTCTTTTCAGGTGGGGAGAGGAAGTAGAATGCCTTAGCATCAGAGCGTGTTAATAATAATATACAGAATACTAATGCTCTGATGGTCATTTTGAAAAATCCTTTGTTAGCAAGCATCTAGAAGCCCAGAGGAACATAAGTGCCAAATTTCAAGTTTATAAGATTCAGTGGGAAAGGGTGTGGTTATTTTTATTATTGGCTTACATTTATGTACCCTTTAAAGAAAAAAATACCAAAAAAGCAAAAGAAAAAAACCCAAAACGAACTAGCTGCGTTGCTCCATTGAGTGCAGTTTAAAGTAATGGAAATTGCAAGTACTGACCCATTGTTATTATAAGACACGGAAAAACATACAGTACAGTACAGTATTGATTATTTTTTTCTTATAGTATAAATGCACAAACAGGAGTTTGATCTCATGTGAAGATTCTTACATAAATAATCAATTAACATTTTTTTAAAATAGAAGTTTAATATGGTTCTGGTGTTTAAAATGTATGGTTCCTCCAGATATAGAATAATTAAATTAGTTATTAGGATATGAATCAAATTTCTGGCTTCTCAAACTGAGCTTCAGAAAATCAAGATAAATTACTTGATTTCTCCCAAGCAAAAGAGACTAAAACCTTCACTCTTCCTGGGCCTGCAAAAAAGAAAAACTTCTTTATGCATTCCAAGAAAGCATTCACTCCTGGCTTGAAGCATTTTTTTGCTCTTTATCATCTTTCTAATACTCTTATTTTGTTGTTGTATACATTATTTGCCCATCTCCATATCAGAGGGTTGTCCTAAGAAACAATGCTCACATGCTGTCACTGTTTATCCTATCCTCATTGATCATTCTTCTGCGCAGTGCTTAAGGTATGAAGGGGGGATTATATTGTATTGATTATAATATATTGATCAGGATTCTAATAATTTTGATAATTGGTCTAAATGTTGAAAGGCTGCTGAACAATTAATTAACCTTTTGTGCCATCCTCATTAATTGAACCCCCCCCCCATTCCATAAGAGAGTTGCTTGAAACAAAGGGAGGTAATTGGCTAATAGGAAATCACTTGGAAAAATATCAAATCGCTCTTCTAGATAATCCCCACGTTCTGTTAAAGTAGAGCACCCAATTTAACTCGGCCACCTTTCTTCCCCAACTGGGACAAGATATTACACATGATTGTGTTCAAATCATTTCTGAGGTGTTTTCTGGGCACCCAGATTTGATTTGACCTCGGGGATGCAGACAGGGACCTGTATACAGATGGCAGGGAGAACAACAAACTGGGTCTCCCCATTGGAGCTTCAGCTCAGAAAACTGAACTTACCGCCTTGACTAGAGCCTTGGAGTTGCCAGAAGGTGCAGTTATTAATACCCTGTTTCTCCAACAATACGGCCTCCCCCCAATAGGAAGTCCCAGCATGTTTTATAGGCATGAAATGAAATTAAGCCCCTCCCCCCAAATTAAGGCCTATATTAAAACATGCAAAATGGGGGGGGGATGGTGGGGGGCGGCTTGCCGTTAGGAAGTACTTTTGTTGCACACCAGGATATGGTGCTGCCTGCGTTGACCCCGATACGAAGTGCCCCACCAACGCCGAGGTCAACATCCAAGCCATCGCCACCCGCCCGCCCAAAGATGCAAGGGGGGGGGGGAATTAAGTCACCCCCGAAAAGACGACCTAGCCATTTTTTCGGGGCTCAAAAAAAAAATAAGACCCGGCCTTATTATATGAGAAACACGGTATTTATACTGATAGCAAACTTGCTTTTGGAATGGTACTTGTCTTTGGTACCTTATGGAAAGAGAATGGATTATTAAATATGGGGGTGAGATATTACGTTTGTTGGATGTTGTTTTGCTTACTAGCAAAGTAGCTGCTATATATGTAAGGGCCCACAGTAAGGATGACAGTAGATACAGTTGTGGAAATAGTCTTACTGACTACACCACCAAGTCTGTTGCCTCAGGCCCCTTTCTCCTTGTATGTGTGTCCACTCATTCGCTCTCAATTTCCTGTGCCATGTCCATCATATACTACTCAAAATAGGCACAGAGCTCATAAAATGGGTGCTGTTTATCAGGGGAATTGGTGGGAGAGAGATGGTAAAACAACACCTCTCAATACATGAGTTATGGGTCCTTTTGAGAGAATTACATGCAAACACACATTGGGGTACAAAAGCCATGACTGAATTTCTGTTAAAAGACTATATTTGTCCAAGAATCTTTGATAAAGTTCTTACAATAGTCAGGCAATGTGTTATTTGTCAAAAAAAAAAAAAAAAACACCAATCCTGTACTCTTGTGCTTCAATAGGTTGCAAGTTTGCTGAGTGGTCCTTTATAAAATTCCCACTGTTGACCAGGGCAAGGCATGAAATTGATCCCCCTGCTAAGTGTTTTAAGTTTTCTGACTGCTGATCAGGGGTATTTATATTGCAACGAGTGAATCTATGGACTATGGAAGATTAAAGGCATTCAGGATTTGATGATTTATGCTTTATAAACTGCTATCCCTAAGCAGAACAATCTTGGAAAAATATATGATATCCACTGTACTTCCAAAAAGCCTGAGTGATTTCTTTGAGCTTCTATATGAGGCCTTTTGGAAGTACGGTGATCTGAATCCAGAGGTTCCAGAGAACCACTGTTTAATATGCTTTTTATTGATCAAAGTAATGCCCTGATATCAGACAGAAAATGCAAAAATTGGATGGCACTTCCACTGGGAAAAAAAAATGGAAAAGCTGCTACAAGTGCCCTTTAGAGTTTAAGTTGCTACACCTGAAGTAGAGGCTAAGGACACCAAGAAGGAAAGTGCAGTGTTTTGCTGCTTGCAGAAGCCCTACAGAAAGAAACATTAGAAGAGGAGCAAGGGGGGGGTTATCATGAAAGAGGTGGGTGAGGAGGTCTTGTCACGAGCAAGGTAATGCTGTCCATGCTTCAGGTTACTCAGAGTAATCAACCACAATAATTTTCCCTGAAGCCCACCCAATGCAGGATCTGTAAGAAATTGTGATGTCTTCCTGTGGATGATGACTCCTCCACGTCTTCCTCGGAAGCCTTGAGGTAGAATGAGAGCATTCCTGGCATGACCCAGGACTGCCGGCTGACCCAGGACTGCCGGCTGAGCATGCCTCGGTTGGGGAGAGCTCACAGGCCAATGAGGAAGAGGGGGAGGAGCTACAAGCCTTGGTAGATGCTAGAGTGTGCAGGGCAGAGAGGCCGAGATCTACCAGATTGATGGGCCCTGCCCCTCTTAATGGACTGCACTGGGAGGGGCTATTTAGCACGGCAGGCAGAAGGAAGTGTTGCTGCTGGAAGCAATGTGTGTGGGTCGTAGCCAGAAGGTTGTTTGTGTTTCTGGGACTCTGCAGCTCGTGGATTTAATTCAGTTGCGGAGGGTGCTTATGTTTGTGTTTGAAGCAGCTGGTTATCTGTCTGATGGACTAATTGGCCATTGCCTGGAAAGTTAGTCTGGAGCTTGTTTGTGGCTGGTTTTGCTGAAAACAATCCCCTCAATTCCTGGCTTGGACAATTCCCATGACTTGTCCTTGCAAGCCCTGAAACTGGACCACTGGACTTGTTGACAAACCTCAGTGGAGGCCCTGGACCTCCGAGTGGATTTTGGCTATTTATTTTTGGAACCTACCCAGCAAAACCTTTATTTCTAAGACTGTTGTTGGTTTGGCTGTAAGTTTGTTTTGCTTTGATCAATGTGGTTGCGAGCCAATTATTGTGCTAAGCTCGCAGCTGGGGGTTAACTGAAAACCTGAACTAGAACTGTGTGGAACAGACTGAATAAAGCTCTCTACACCAACCCTGAAGTATGAGAGCAGCACAGAAATTTACCCACTGGAGAAGGGAATGCCCTTTGTGTACCCAGTCTGCTCCACACCTGATCTCTTGTCAGAGATATTAGGGGAACACAGGCAAGGAAACTTTTGTCTCCCAACTCTTTCACAAATGCCTCCACCTTCACCCCTAGTAAAAATCCAAGTCAGAGGCAGATCTGTGCCATTCTTTTGGTTGACACTGGGGCATCCTGCTCAGTACTCAATTGTCTGCTGAATGGCCTAATAATACATCCCCTGTTGAAATATCTTTTTTCGCGATGCAGTCTCTTTCTGTGCGCCAACACCCCTATTAATGTTGAAGCTTTGCAGGACTTGAAACTATTATTGAAAACTTCCTTACTTATTAAGGAGGTCATTAGCCCCTTACAATACACCAATATGACTTGTCAAAAAACTCAATGGCTCTTATCCTTTCGGTCAGGATTTAAGGGCCATCAATCAGATTATAGTTCTGCTGCATCAGATGGTGCTTAATCCATACACTCTGATCAGTCAGTTACATCTTAATCTTACTTGGTATACAGTTGTAGACTTCAACTGCCTCCTTCTGTGTCTCTTTGACATTGTGGTAGCATAATTGCCCGTGTTTGGGGTGGACATTGGTCATCCTTTCTAATTTGGGATCAGATCTGATTTTGAGAGATAAAGTATTCTTGTTCAGTGTAATGGAGGACTTTTAGGACTAGGAATAAGGAAATAGTCTTGCTATTTCTATTTCATCTGTCAGCAGCTTTTTGAAAGAAGTTGGCTGTTTGGATCAATTTCTCTATAATTTTTTTTGGCAGTTGTTACACTTCTATTTTCAAGGTTGGTTTCAGACAGTTGGTATTGGAAGATTGCATCTATAAGGAGCTGCCAAGAGGTTGTGTTCCAAATGCTCTTTATTGTCTATATGAAACTTCTGGGAATGGCCATTGGGGGATTAGAATAAAGTATTATCAATACATTACTAGTGAATGGCAGCTCTATTTCTCTGAGTCAGGTAATCCACAACTAAACTAGGTTACTTCAGTGCACCAGTAAGCAAATAAGGTAAATGTGAAATTTGATAAAACTGACATCCCTTTGTTTCAGTATAGGAATTGATTGAAATAGTATTTAGTGGAGAGTGCTTGTTGACTTACCTTCAGAGAACAAAGAACATTTGTATTAAATCAATTGGTATAGAGCTAAAATCTTTATCAGATACAATAGCCTTGTATTATTCATTAGTATCCTCAATGTTAGATTATTATCACACTTCTCTTGTATAGTTCCAGCTAGGTGTCATTAGTTATCGTTGTAAGTTAACAACGGCACTGAGAAAAGTGACTTATGATGATTTTTCACACTTACGACCGTTCCAGCATCCCCATATTCACGTGATTTACATTTGGATGCTTGACAACTGACTCACATTTATGAAGATCGCAGTGTTCCAGAATCATGAGAGCTCCTTTTGTGACAAGCAAAGTCAATGGGAAGCCAAATTCACTTAACAACTGTGTTACTAATTTAACAACTGTAGTATTCACTTAACAGCAGTGGCAGGAAAAGTTCATAGAATGGGGCAAAACTCACCTAACAAATGTCTCACTTAGCAACATAAAGTTTGAACTTAATTGTGGTTGAAAGTCGAGGACAATCTGTACTACCATTTGTATTAAAGCCACTTTTTTATTTTTAGTTTATCATTTCCATTTTGGAAAGGCAGTTGTGATCTTTGCATATATATGCACTTAGCCAAGATTCAAAAATAAGAAAATATACCAAAGGCTATGTAAAATATCATCTAAATATTTCATTAATACCTGTTTTTCAAATATAGTTGCTGCTGTTGGTTGTAGCTTCCTCTTATTGATCCTTGAACAAATTTTTCAAGAGAGATTATATTATGTAGGTTGGTGACCTTTAATTGACTTTAATTGAAATTTGGGGAAATTGTATTTTACTACATGTTGATATATTGGGAAACTATATCATCTTTATTGTTAGCATTAATCCATTAACAACACTGAGTTCATTATATGAACCTCTCACTTTCCTATATTATTGGAGCTCTCTTTCATTTTATAGCTGGCTTAAGTCCTGCTGAGATTCAGCAGTTATGGAAAGAAGTTACTGGAGTTCACAGTATGGAAGACAATGGCATTAAGCATGGAGGGCTAGACCTCACTACTAACAATTCTTCTACTACCTCCTCTACCACTTCCAAAGCATCGCCACCAATAACTCATCAGTCCATAGTGAATGGACAGTCATCAGTTTTAAATGCAAGACGAGACAGGTAATAAGAGAACTCATCTGCTTTTTCATCTGGTATAAATATTCATCAGTATGGCTCACAAAATTAACTTAAAATTCAGCAAGATGTTGCTTTGAACTTAGTCATTTTGATTTAGTTTTTAAAATTGACTATTTAATCAGTTTTAACCAATGAAGAGAACTATCATACTTTCCCTGTCTGATTTATGGGATTTGTTACTTTCTTTGGATATGTTTTTTTTTCTGCCTTATAGCACACAAGGATGACCCTGAAAGAGGGATTTTCTAATAAGCCAATCATGCAATGTAATTTTAAAAATTATATTTCTTCCCCATTTTTTCTCCAAGAGCATAATTCGGCATATATGAACTTCTACTCTCTTTATCCTTAGAGGGTTAAACAAAGAGATTGTAAAAGATTCATTCAGCCATATTAAATTTAAAGCTTGATCTCCATCTCCTCAAGCCACTATGTAAAACTGGACTTATTTTATTTAAGTGATCTTGTTTAACAGTCACATATAAGCCACACTGAAACTAAAGGACATCAGACTAATTTATGAAGTGGTACCAGTAGTGTGCCATTGGTAATAAATAGCAACTGGTTTTTCTGATCAAAATGGATAATTGCTTGTGAACATTGGACTGGATACAAAGGATCTTATTCCATCCAAGTACACCGTTTGGGGACTGAGATTCTAGATCCCAACCACTAATTCCAGTCTTTTGTAATTAGTCAACTAACAGGGGAACCTAAGCCATAGTTCTTAGCACATCAGTGAGTAAGTCTGTTGTACTCATTAACTTCAAAGTTGCTGTAGCAAACATTGCAACATTAGTCTAGAGACCATAATATTTACAAGTAATATTCACAAGACAACAAGAATAAGGGCTACAGAGACCCATGACAGTTTAAAAGGTTTTTTTTACATTCTATTGTTTTCGCATAACATCATTTCTGAAATATATTAGTGTTGTAGCAAGACTATAAATGTATCATATTATATTGTGATTCTAATAACAGTATATATCTAGGATTTACCTCAGTGATATTTATCTATTTTTTTATTTATTTTGTAAATTTATATGCCACCCATCTTGCTGTTGAACTGGGTAGCTTACAATATTTATGAAGTTTTCAAAAGTATAGCAGAGATAGTACTGCCATACTATGTTCAATAAAGTTAATTAAATGGAATCATATGTCCATTTGAATTCAACTACTTATAATAATAACTGTGGGCAGTCAATTTTAAATGCATCCTGAAGTTCAGCATCAATATGAAAATGAGATCATTTACACTTCACATATCAATGTATTAGTTAAACTGGCACAGAAGTAGTCACATATATAGCTTACAACCTGCAGTAGCTAGGGCAGCACCCTTATATAAAGTACAATAATATATACAAAGTATATTGGATGCATTTCTCTTCTTTTATCTGCATTTACAAGAAAGATATGAATCCCAGGGTAAAGAGGGATGTTGTGACTTGTCTATCAGGCAGGTAGATATGCATCGATGAGTATTCTTCTGCCTAGCATAAGGAGAGAGAGAGAGATATTTATGTTATTATTTATTTATTTATATTATTTGTGTTATTTATTTATTTATTTATTTATTTGATATTTCATATTTCTAAACTGCCCATCTCCCTCAAAGAATGGCTCTAGCTCCTACATTCTATCTAATCCAACCAGCTCATTAACCATGGTCAGCTTTATTTATTTATTTATTGCCACAATCAAATGACTGGACTATACATGGAAGAGACCATACCATGGGATTTGGCCCATGAATGGAGAGGGGAAACAGATTGGGGGATGAATGCTTTTGCAAATTAGGCTGTGCTGTTCTCAAGCTCTATTTGTTCAAGAGTTCTCTAAGTACCATGAGAAAAATCTGCAAGAACAATTCATGCATGTTAAGCTATGAATTTTGTGATCATGAAGCTATAGTTGAAGTTTAGCTGCCCTCATAGCCAGCTCTCAAGCCTGACTGCCATGGCCTCACTTTGTATTCTATTAGAGATGACATGTAGCTTCTACTTCAACTCAATGTTTAATAAGAATTCTTTTTTTTTCCCAAAAATTTTTATTGATTTTTAAAAAACAAACATAAACAAACAAAACACAAAACATGAAAACATAAAACATCTTTTTTGAAAGCAGCTTGATCCCGGGTTACATCTCTTCGTACAGACATAAGTTCAAGTTCGTGCTCACTTTTATATACCGTTCCATATCTTATTACCATTCTAGATTTTCTGTATAGCTTCTCCCCTCTTTAAACTCTCTTAATTCTATTTTATTTATTTCATCTCAATTTAAATCATTATATTTATATCCTTTGTCTGTCCTGTTTCAGCTGTCTATTATCTTTTCTCGTTAAAACAAAATTTCTCCTGTAATCACTGATTGGAGTATGGCGCCTTTATATCTTTCCCCTAAGTTTATAACACTTAATATAATACATAACTTTCATTCGGATTCTGCTTAGTACATTCTAAAGCTACACACTATATCTTAAGAAAAGAAAACATTATAAATATATAATATATAAAAAATATAAAATATAATAACAATCCATACCAATTCAACTCTATCGTTAAAATTAATATTCATTTAAATCTTAAACATTTTACACATTACTTTTCAAATAGGTATCATGTTTCTATGGGAACACTTATAGATTTTGCATAATTACTTCCCCCCCATTTCACTTATATTTTAAAACATTGTATAATTAAAATGTTCCCATTCCTTCCTAATTCAATTCTCTCATTTATTTCATTTCATTTATTTTGTTCAAAAAAAATTTTTCACTGAATTACACTGAGTATTTTATCCCATTTTATAATCATATGTTGTTCCAATTTTCTAACATTATTTCTAATACAAGTATAACAATACAATCTTATGTACCTTTGCAGAATCTCTTTTTCATTTATATTTTTACCCATTATCTCTGAATAAGTCCTGTTTCTTTACATCTTGTTCTAAACCTTCATAGCTTCTCTTCCCTTCCTTCCTCCCTTGCTTCTTCACTCTGCCCTTTTTACCCCCTTGTCTCTCCACCTCTATTTCCCCTTCTGTGTTCCCCTTTTCTGTTGCTTTCTGACATTATATCCACTTTTCACCTTATTTTTCCCTTTTTTGGTTGTTTTTTTAGGTCTTAAATCCTCCATTCTCTTTTCCCCCTTTCCTCTTTCTTCCCCAGATAAAGTTACTTGTTCATTAAAGATGGCTTCTTCTTTGTCCCACTCTCCTTGTAGCTCAGTCTTTTCTTGTAATTTCTCATAGGTACAGATCACCATTTCTAAGAAATGAAAAACGGAGCCAAAAGAGCCCTTCCCTTCTTGTTCCTCTTCTTTATATTTTTTAAATTCCATTTTCAGTTCATTCACAAGTGATGCCATTGTAAAAAAAAATTTAAACAACCACCCAAGTGTTTTTAATCATTCAGATATAATTTCCAAAAGTCCCAAAGTCACCAAACAATCCAAATACACACAAGCTGTTTCATTCAACACTTTCTTCTTTTTTCACTTTCTCTTCCTGGGGTTACAATTTAGTTACAAAGTTCCAGTTAAAATGTATCTTTTAGAAGTCTTATTACGATTTAACTTTAGATTCTTTTAAATTCCAAGCAGCCTCCTCCAGCCAAATCTTGCTCTTATTTCTTTTCCTCTCCCTTCCCACTTACAGCAAAAAAAAAAAAAAAAGTTTTTTAAGTGTTTAGAAATCTTTATTGTCCTCTTGGCATTTAATTTTCCAGTTTAATTACCTGCTGATGCCAAAGCGGTTTTTTTCCGATTTCTCATTCATCTGCTGTCAACATAGGGAAGGAGAGTGGAAAAAAAAACTTTCCCTTTTCACTTTCATTCGCTGCTTCCGATTCTTCCTTGGGAGCGATGTATCTTTTTTAAAAATTTAAGTTTCAGGATATCTTAGTTGTTGCTTCTTATCCCGGTCAGCCAAAACTTTCACTTCTTAGCTTCCTCCTGCACTTTCTTTTCCGGATGAGTGCTTCTTTGAGGCAGCCATTTCTGACCACCGCTCATTCGCCTTCGGAAAAGGGAGTTTAGCCAGCTGAGGAGGAGAGGTGCAGCTCCCCTCGAACCCTGGCGGATCTCCCCTGTCTTCACCACCTCTACGGGGTGGCTTAGCCCCGAAGCCAAACTGGCTCGGCGAGCCCAGGCAGAAACCACGCACGATCGCAGATTCCTGCCTGCCGCTGAAGCGCTGCAAACCGGAACCCATGTTTAATAAGAATTCTTACATGTGCCAGAACCTACTATTTGCACTAGATCCAAATTTCCTCACTACTTTGGTGATATAGAGAAAGCTACTAATGTGCAAGAAGATCCTAGTCAAGAAGAAGCAACTAGAGTGGCTTTAAAGTTTGCATCATCCATGGTATTAAAGGGCTAATCACACAAAGCCATAATTTCAACAATAGTTGCATCAGGTCTAATGCCTTCAAATATTTTCCTTTTTTTGTGGCTTCAGCAGCACAATATCCGTATTACTGCTCTTTGTAGCAGCATCTGTATGACAGCTATGTGTGTACTTGAACATCCACTATGTTAAACTGAAAGGTTTATAGTGTCTTGATAGCCACCCTGACTTACAGACCCCTCAGAGGAACATAATTGCTTTAATGGATGTGGTCATCAGCTGGTCTTCTGAGACACCAGTGCCACCAGCTGAGAACTCAGGAGGGAGCAGCTTCTGTTCTTTCTGACCATCAGTATGAGGTTGCTTTCAAAGATATTTCCTTTACTATATCAGTATGAGGTTGCTTTCAAAGATATTTCCTTTGCTATAAAGATATTTCCTTTGCTATGAACCCTTCCATCGACACTGGGCCCTCTTTCAGCCTCACAGCATTGTTCACTACCACAGGAATAGTGGTCAACTTTAAGGAAAGTAACCTTTGTGCAGCTATTATCCTCATGTTTTGCTGTCATATTTTGCCCTTACTTTTCCTTTCATTCCTTAGTAGCTCTTCTGCCATTCCAGGCCTTTGAGATCTAGGTTTTCAGAAGGAAGACATCCATAAGCAATGGGTGTGGGGATGTAACAGTAGCAAAGCTGCAAAAGAAGCCTTGATTTAAAACAGTGGGGCTCTGTTTACTAGATGGCCTGTGCCCCAATGGGTCATCCTTTCAGAGATATTTCCTTTCCTAGACAGAGAAATAATGACCACAGGTAGACAAAAATGCAATGGATGTAGGAGCGACTTTCAACTTCCTACCAGCTCCCCATTGATTTTACTTGTGGTAAGCTGTCAGGCAGCATTGGAAATTACTTCGCTTCCTCAACTGTCCCACAAAACCGCCTGGCATTTTGCAGGGTGGAGAGAAAGAATAAAGGGAGTTGTGAACCATGAGGAAAACTGCACCTCTGCTACCAACAGGCATCTGAGACGTTCCCTTGCTATTCACCACTATTAAGAGATTTCAGATTTCATCCTTGATTCCAATGCAGCCAATCACCAGTCCATTGTAGGTTTGCTTCCAGCCAATTGGGGCAGGAACCAGAGGAAGGTGGGAAAGATGGCAGAGGTGTGGCCCTCCCATTTTCTTTGCACACGTAACCTACAGGTTTCTGGGAAGAAATTGCAGTGGTGCTGAAGCAGCCACAGCTTTCCCAAATTTAATTCCCAGAGGAGTCTTGTATCCTCACATTCTGTAGGTTGGCACGTTTGAGTTACTTTTGCTCAATAATTGTTGCCCTGTGCTTTGCAATTTCACCAACTGAAGGTTACAAACAAACATAAGAGTTTTAGTAGTATACAGATGTTCAACTAAGTAAAACTGTACACACATAAAACATCTAATTGGAAATATAATTTTTCTGCATATAAACAAACTGGCTATACTTGGAAGGGGAAGAAAAAAATTATTTTTATTTTTTAAGAGGTATGAGTTGAAAAGTAAGAGAATGATAGGGAAATTTGTTTCCCTTCCCCCCCTTATATGTCATTTTATTGCTTTAGAACTAAAAACACCCTAAAAGGCTCTTAAATGGGACGGGGAATTTCCTGTGGGAGACAGCCAGATATTCACCATCTGTGGTTCAATAGTAATCCATTCCAGTAATTTGTCAGTTGGTTACAGCAATAGTCCTGGTCCTCTCTCTATGGTAGCAAATCACAGGCACTTCTGGCACTGACCTTTAAAACTTACTAATTTCCTTCCCCTGAAGACTCCGCCCTATCTATGCTTTCCCATCCATCTTAAGCAGGATCGGAAGCAACTAAACTTAAAAGAGGACAATTGTTATTCAGAACAGCTTGAATCTGTACAGTTCATTTTAAGGATTGGATAAATTCAGAATATTTTGTCTCAAGTGTGAAACAAAAGGTTGAAAATATAGTGCATTTTATCAAAAAGGATCAAATCTTTATTATTAATAATACATTTTATTTATAGACAAATGGTTAATTTGAGGTCAAAAGTAAAACCGAGCATATCATGCAATAAAGTATTTCTTTTCATTTTTCATAAACATTTCGGGGGGGTGGGTTTCTTCTCTGAGCTGATTTGAACTTGCAATTGAAACTTCAGTGTGACAATTAGATTTTTGTGATTACCATAGGTTTTACTGTTTTGGTCCTTTTGACCCTTATCATAACCTATCAAATTCAAGTACTATATGCTTTTGAGATTAATCTTATGTCATATTCTTTTACTGCAGCTCATCACACGAGGAGACTGGAGCCTCTCATACTCTCTATGGCCATGGAGTTTGCAAATGGCCTGGATGTGAAAACATTTGTGAAGATTTTGGACAATTTTTAAAGTAAGTTTGTTTTAGTTTGATTATAGGTTATAAGATTACAAAGACATAAAACTGAGCTGTAAATATGTGGTATTGCTGGTGTTACTGGTTTAGTTGGCAAAATATATCACAAGTAGAACACCAATGCCTGTTCCACAAATAGAATTCTTTCCCTTTCTTTTATCTAAAATAAGTCTTTAAAAAAATTTAGTAGCATGGTTTTTAATTTACCTCTTTGCAGAAATTTTCCTAGAAAATAACTTGTACTCAACTCTACTACCTACAAGAGTTAGAACAGCTATGGGCCTAGGGGCCTCAGGCAGTGTTCTAGATGTTGATGGGAATGGAATTCAATACTGCAGATCAGTGGTTGCCAACCAGTGAGCCAGGGACCAATGGTGGTCCGTGAGAAAATTTTGGTGGTCCGCAGAGAAATATCACCCACAAAGCACCACCCAAATCCAGGCTGCGCAGGAACACAAGGCTGTGCCGCCCACAGGAACACAAGGCTTGCATCACTTGCATTGTGAACAACACAAGATAGTGATGGGAGGTGGGAAGGGCAGAGGGGGAACTTGCCCCACTCATCCCGCGCACCTCACCTGGCCACCGGGCTGCTTCTTTCCACTTCTTTCTTCTTATGCTTTTGGCTGCACTCAAGGAAAGCTGCAAAAGTCTTTCTTTCTTTCCCCCAAACTCCACCAGAAATGAGTCTTTGGGACCCTGCAAGGCATCCTGCTGAAAGAGGCTGCGCCGGCATGACAAGTCTCACTAAGACTCATTTCTGGCAGAGTTTGGGGGAGAGAAAGAAAGATTTCTGCTGCTTTTTTTGCATGAAGCCAAAAGTCTGTCCCCCTGAGAACAGAGCTGGAAATGGTATCCTGCGATCCCAAATAAAGAACAATTGATTAGTAGGAAAATGGGGTGGGGAATTTTCCTGCAGACTTTTGGGGGGATTTTCCCAGGGTCTCTGGTCTGCGGGATTTAAAATTATGAGTTTGGTGGTCCCTGAAGTCCAAAAGGTTGGCGAACCCTGCTGTAGATTATATCTCAATGGAAGAAATAAGGGTGCTTAACGGGTGGGATTCAAATTTTTTAGCAACCAGTTCTGTGGGCATGGCTTAGTTGGGGGTGTGGCTTGGTGGTCACATGACTGGGTGGTCATGGCCAACTCGATGTCACTCACGTCGAGGGGCGCTTCTCCTCACCTGGCTTCTTGTGACTGTGGGGATGCTGCAATGGTCGTAAGTGTGAAAAATGGTCATAAGTCACTTTTTCAGTGCCATTGTAACTTTGAATGGTCACTAAAAGAACTGTTCTAAGTCAAGGATGACCTATACAAAAATACAAAAAGCTTCTTTGCTTGCAAAAAGCTGCCCTAAATACCAACCATTAGATTAAAAATACCTGCAAGCCAGAGTTACAAATCAGGCAGGGTGCCAGAGCACCTTGAGGAATTAAAATAGTTAAAATGCAGTGATAACTATCAGCAGCCAATTCTTGCTTATAAAGTAAAACCCAGAGGTCATTTAAGCTCATAAAGTGAAACCCAGAGGTCATTTATACACCCAGGAAAAGCAATCCTTAGAACCATTTGCAACACTTAAAGATAGCAGCTGCTCATCTCACAAGATATCCTAAGGAAATCATCCAGGTTTAAAGAAAGGTCACATGCCAAGCTTGCATCCTGCCTCTTGGAAGTATACCCCAAAAGGACAGTGCCAGATACCACTAAAGCAGTGAAGGAAGACCTCCTCTCCAGATAGAAAAAGAAACCATGAGGCAGGAAAAAATTCAAACACAATACAAATAATTAAATCACAACAGTATCTGTTGCTTGTTAAACCAATTACAGAATAAATAGACACAGGAACTAGCCAGATTTCTCAACCAGTTTCTTTTCAGGATCACAGATTAACCTTTTTTCCTTCCAAACAAAGCTGAATAGGGAAAATTATCCCATCAATAAACACAGGATTTAACTTCTCCAAAAACCAGTTTTAGACTAAAACTCAGAAAGGGTTTGTAACCACACGTTTGAATGTCAGTCTTCTAGCTAGCCAAGAAGTCTTGCTGAATGTCACTCATCTTGGTTCCTTGTCATTAAAAGCTCCTTTCCGGTTATTCAATTATTTCTTCAAAGTGCTGATTGTTGCATGTGGCTGGAAGTATATCCAGGGGAGTATCTCCTCCCAACAGCAGTGTAAAAAGCTTAAAATAACCCTTCCCCTTTAAGAAAATAAAAAAAAAAACTCCTTCAGAGCCAGTAAGTCTAGGCATACTGCCAAGAATGTAATAAGGGTGGAAAAAAACAAAAGGAGATTTCTTCTAACTACTGGTTCTCCAAACTGCTTAGAAAGTTAACAAGGGGTTCTATAGAACCAGTCAGAACCAGTAGAATCTCATCCCTGGTTCTTAATTAGCATGTACAATCATTGTTCTTACTATGAATCTGAATTTATTCATTGGTTCTTAAATGTAACTTTCAAAGAAATCTCCTTTATTGGAACACTCCATTATTAAGTTAGGAAAATAAGGTGTTTGGAAGGTCCCTCCCAAAATTAAGTTGGCAATCACATGTGTTGATATCACACATCCATGCAAAGGGACAGGGCTTTCATCATTTTGCAACAGCTATCTTTTTGGTTTCTTGGCTTGTAAACACTGCTGGGAGCTCCAGCACCTTTATAGAACCCAACCACCAAAGCTCCTACTTACTTTACTTTGGGACAACAACCTGCATGGAACAATGCTTCATGGGAGCACTACTTTTGCTTTGGAAGCCTGGGAGCATGAGAGAAATATGTTCAGTTTTAATTTCTATGCCAAGAAAATGTTGCAATACTATGTTCAAACCAAGAAATGTGAAGGAGTAACAAAAATCTTGATCAAAATACCACAGATTTTGCTACATATGTTGAATACAAATATTTTTTAAGAATATTCTCCCACATTTTGGGTAAAAGTCAGTAAGTAGAAAATGTATAAATTGACTACCCACTTTTCTAATGCCACTATACCTTAGGCTCATCCCTTGCTGGCACAAATGCCAACAAAATAATTATAACTAGAACATATAATCATAATTCCAAACATTTAATAATATGTTTGAGAAGATAAAGTGTGCATTAGAGAATTACAGTTTCTCTATCATCCCACCATATTATCATGGTTTTATATTAACCCTTTGTTTAAATCTATATTCTGTCATACTGCGAAGTATAGTAAGAAAATCCAGCATATTTATTTGCATTCAGCATGAATAGGTGGAGTGTATGTTTAAAATTAGGAGCAACATCAGAGAAAAGTAAAATTATGAGCAAAGTATCCAACAACTTTATAAGGTTTGTGTAATTACCTTATATTTTCTTTCTGGACTGAACACAAATGGAGTCAGTCTGCTAAAACAGTCATGCTTTCGTGAACAAAGAATCCTAATGAAAAGTTATACGTAGATTTATATAGATGACTAACTTCACAAGCTGATGCTCTTATGTTGTCATGGTGCAACTAACAGGGTCAATGAACTGCTTCATGCTTCATCAACAATTAAGTTAATTAGTTCATTTGAAATTGCACTGCTTTGTTGCCAGGATGTTGGTAGAAATGTTAGAAAGCCCTATGTTACAAATGGTATAAAGTCAACGGCGGATAGAGTCAGCAGTTTAACAGCAGAGCATAGAGGTACAGCTCATAATGGCTTTAGAAACAAGTGTTTTTATATATGCCTGCAAGTTTACATACATATATTTCTTAATATATTTTAAGGCAAATTATGTTTGCTATTCTTTTAAAATTTACTCTTTTAAAGTGTGTGGAAAAGATTTAGTTATATTTTAAAAAGTAATTCTAGAACAGTACTTTAAGAGAATATTATGATCTGTAATATTTCTGTTTATAGATTAAAGAAATTATATTGTTTGCCTCTGGGATTTAATTAAGCTGCTGAAAATTATTCCATTTGAAAGTAACCCATATACTGCATGTATTGTTCTAAGAATAATTTATAAAAGAGTTGTAACTGGCTTAGCTCCATTTTTTTCTTATCCAAAAAAACTAATTTGTATAAATACTTCTATCTATTCAGAATGTAGTTTTATATTAGTGTTTGGCTTAGTCCTTTCACAATTACTTTGTAATTTTTTTTACAGTTATTATTTAAGACTCTGGTTTAATAAATACAATATATTACAATAGGTTTTAGATTACTGATAAACTGTGCCTTCTTCAGTGGTGTTATTCAATTTTTTTTACTACCGGTTCTGTGGGCATGACATAGCTTGGTGGGTGTAGCTTGGTGGCCATGACATAGCTTGGTGGGTGTGGTGTGGCTTGGTGGATGTGGCAGAAGAAGGATACTGTAAAATCCCCATTTCGAACCCACTCAAGGGGAAGGATAGTGTAAAATCCCCATTCCCTCCCCACCTCACTAATCTGATTTCCAGCTCTGTTCTCCTGTGCAGGGCAACAAAAGAAAACCCAGCCAATCAACTGGGACTCGGGAGGCAGAGAATAGATGGGGGCGGGCCAGTCAGAGGTAATATTTGTCGGTTCTCCAAACTACTCAAAATTTCCGCTACCGGTTCTCCAGAACCTGTCAGAACTGGCTGAATACCACCTCTGGCCTTCTTGTTTATCACTGTTGCTATTTATTTCTGCTTATTATCAGAAGAAATTGACACCCTTGACATCAGTTTCTGCCTTCTGAAATAGGCTGTTCAAATGTACAGTATATCTCATTTCCATGTGCTATATCACAGAATATATATACTTCTTAATTTTCTATCATTGTCACATATACCTTGATCTACAAAGCCAAAGAACTTTTGTGGACTGTATACAACCTAGAAATCGTAGGATTCATTGTGGTCCCAAAGAAAAGCCTCAAGTACATTATTGTGCTTTTCTATTAGATTTAAGCCCAACATTAAAAAGGCATAAAATTCAGCTTTCGTTTTGAAGTGGTGATATGGTTTACAATCATCTGAATCTGCTTGTATCTGCTCTTTGTCTCTTTCACT